TCACAGCTTCTCCCTGTGCTGCCTCCTTCTACAGTGCTCATCCCAACCAAGGGCCCTCCCTAATAAACATTCTGCACACCAACCTCTGTACAGTCTGTTCCCCCAAAGAACCCAACCTGTGACAGCACTTAACCAAATAACTAAAAATAGAAAACGTATTGGGTATGGGTAGAATGGAAAGGGTGAGGGTGCACAATAAAACATTCACACCCATATGGGAGGTAACGTAGCAGTGACTCGAGCCAGGCTGCCTGAGTTCGAATCCCATCTCTGCCACCTCTTATGAACATGTCTCAATCTCTCTGTGCCTCAGTTTTTCATCTGTAGAATGGGAATAAAAGTACTTATTTCAGTGCTATAATGAGGAGTAAATGAGCCAATGTGGGTAAAGCAGTTGTGTTAGGCTTATTATATGCTAAGTGTTGTTCTAAATGTTTGGTAAATGAATACCTATGAGGTCAGGCCCACAAGGCCAGAGGATGGTGTGGGCTGAGATACCTCCCCAGACTTTAGGCACAGGTACTGGTGTGGGCCAGGGCATATTGAAGCCTGAGTGTTGGCAGAAACAGGTCCAAGCAGGACTAGCCTGGTGATGTCACAGGCATGTGCCTTGTGTGGGTGTTAGGCTGCTCCCTCCCAGCCAGCGCAGCTGCACGCTTTGCCAGTGACACCTACATACCCATATATATGCTGAGCTGGGGGAAGCCCATACCAGCCACACCCTTTGCGTGCCCTGATTTTCCTGAACCTCCTTTGGTGGAGGGAGCCACCTGAGGCCTGGGATGCTGGCTCAGAAGACCCAGGAGGAAATGGGGCCCTGTTTTCCCAAAGCAGGGCCTGGCGGCAGACTGAAAATATGAGCTCCTGTTGGCAGCCATTTCTGGAGCCCCTGGGGGCCCAGCCCCAGAGGCAAAAACACAAGCAAAAGCAAGGAAGCATAAGCGGCATGTTGGGAAACTTCAGAAACTAGAAAAACTGATTTTAAAAGTACATTACAGCTTATGGGCTGCCTAAGAAGCTCAAGGAGGGCTGCAGCACTTAGGAGCAGCCCTCCTAGAAAAATAGACAAAATCAGATAGGCAGGGAGGGTCCTCAGTCAGCCCTTACCTGTCTTCCTTACTTCTTCACCCCAAGTGCTCCCCCACACTAACTAAACTCTAGCCTTCTTTCTATGCCTAAATTCACTACATTCTTTCTGGCCTCAGGGCCTTCGTACATGCTGTTACTGCTAGAAAGTACTTTCCTCCAACCCACCCCTAATAATTCACCTGGCCATCGACTCACATCCTTTGGGCCTTTGCTGAGTCCTAGAGAGGTCCCCCTTATCTACTAGATCTGAAGTACGGCTCTCTAATGTTTATCTCAGAGCCCTCAGTTCTTTTCCTCTATAGCTCTCATCATAATTTGCCTTACATAACAATGTTTATCTGTTTAATGTGTGTGAATTCCTGGAGGGCTGGTGCTGGGTTTCTCTTGTTTTCCCAACTCATGCCAACAACATCCCTGCACAAAGGAAGCTCAGGGGCTGCAGACAAGGACAGCCCCATCTTAAGCCCAAGGCAGCTCAAGGCATACTTTATGAGTGCTCATGTTTTCCGAGTTCCATGTGCCCTGGTGCCAACCATGCCCAAAGTCTCCCTTCACCCATACTCATTAGCCAGCTAGCTTCCATGCCCACTGATTATTGACCTACTTAAGCCTATGGCTCTCTTTGAGGCAGAAAATGAATAGAGTCAGACAGACTTGGGTTCAAATCCCCACTTGTTAGTTATATAGCCTTGGGGAAAGTTACAGAACTCTGAATCTCAGTTTCCTCATCAGTAAATTGGGGACAATAATCCCTGATTAGAGGGTAATTATAAGGGTGAGGTGTGACATGTGTAAGCACTGTAGCACTGGGCCAGGCATTAGATCAACTTTAGTTCCCTCTCTCCCACTTTAAAGGCCTGTCACTAGGTGGCAGTCCATCTCAGCCACTTCACCACCCCTCAGGTGGCTGAAGCCTCCTAGCACTGGGTACTGGACCTCAGGTGGAATACTCAGCTTCCTAGTGGCTGCATTTGAGATAAACACACACACACACACACACACAAGTTCCTACTACAGCAAGACAAAGTCAGAGGCAGCTCCAGACACCAGTCACAACCCAACTGGGTGGGCTGCCTGAGCACACACAAGTTACACACTCACAAATTCAAGGAAACCTGGATCTTTCTCTGGCATCCGCTGCGTGCTCTGCTGAGCCTCTCACCTCTGGAATACGGTAAGCTGTCCCGCTCTGCCTGGCTCAATATCTGTTTGACCGGCTCCACTGTGACCTCAGGTGTCTTCGGTTTGGGTGGTTCTCTCTCAAGGGGCAGCTAGACTGTAGGGGCCAATCTAGAGAATGGCTTCAGGAAGACAAAGAGTAGATTCTTCAAATACAGGTATATCTCAGAGGTATTGCAGGTTCAGGTCCAGACCACTTTAATAAAGCAGGTATCGTGATAAAGTGAGCAGTAATCTTTTGCTGGTGGAGGGTCTTGCCTTCAGTTGTAAAAAACACACCACCAATGAAGTGCAATAAAGCCAAATACACTAAACGAGGTCCACCTGTGACCACAAAAAGGCCTCCTTGCTGGGAGATGGAGAGTGAAGGGGAGGTAGCGAGAGACGAAGTGGGAGAGAAAGGGGCCAGGCCATACAAGACCTGCTGGGCCTGGTAGGGAGTGTGGATTTTACGTGCAATGGGAAGTCCTGGAGGATTTGAGGCTGGAGGTAGGAAATCATAATTTAATTTTCTTTTAAAGACCAAGGAAGGTGAAGTCTGGGTGAGAAAAGATGGGCCTTGGGCTTGTGGGTGGAGTGAAGATATCTGAGGGCAGAGTGAACTGGACTTGATGAATTGCTGTGGGGTTGAGGCAGAGAGAGGAAACAAGGATATCTCCAAGGGTTTTGGCCCAAGCAGCGTGGCATTTAGTGCCATGTTCTAAGAAAGTGAAGACTGTAAGAGGAGCAGTTTGATAAGGGAGTGAGATGCCTTTGTTAAGTGGGGACCTGGAGTAGGAAGTGGGATGGAGGGGATACAGGTTTGGCGCTGCGGGTGCCAAGGCGGGGTGTGGGGGGTGACGCCATGGTGAAAGGTCGGATCGCCTTGGGAACTGGCTCAGGACTCAGCCCAGAGAAAGCTTCTAAGGTCGAAAGGCAGCCGCCAGAGAGAGGAGGAAAACAAGGGGAGTCAGGCCGGGAAAACCAAAGCTCAGAAGAGCATTTGCAGGAGCAGCGCCTTAAAGTAGGACCTGTACAATGTCCTACCGCGTGGACGCTGAGTGAGATGCGGCGGCGCTGGTTTACGCGAAGGCCAGAGACGCAGGCCACTGGGGCCGCGGGTCTAAAGTTCCTGTAGGGGATGCTCAGGCCTAGGGGGTGCTTCTCCAAAGGTCCGGGCCCTCAAAGGCCACCCTGGCCACAGGGGCGGGACAGGCGTGGGTCTGCGGCCTGCGGGCCAGCCCTGCGCGGCCAGAAAGGAGGGGCGGGACAAGCCTGTTGTCCATCAGAGCCCGGCGGCCAATCCGCAGGCGGCCCCGCCCCACCACCCCCCCTCCGGGAAGGCGCGCAGAAGACCCGCAGCCGCTGGGGTGAGGCGGCCCGGCCTGGCTCCCTCCGCCGGGCAGCCCGCCCAGCTCACTAGGTTTGGTTTGCGGGCCCGGGGGGCGCTCGGCGCCCTCACCTCTCTTTCCGGTTGCTG